CCCATGAAGGCACTGAGTTCATATTCTCTGCACCAAATAAACTGAATATTCTTAATAACATGCAAATGAAATAGACTTCTAAATTAAATCTCAAAGTAACTTTCAATAGAACACAAGCTTAATAAAGTGAAACGACAGGTATTCTTACGCTCTTTCTTAAAGAAGAAGTTTTAAAATGTCATTAAGGCTTATTTATTAAGTAGAAAATATTCAAATATTCTCCACTGAAGACTGTTTTGTCTTTTTTTTTTTTTGGAAGTTGCCATTCTTGAGATCTGGCTAGTAAAGTGAGGTTCTCTGAAACATTTCGACTTGTCAAAAAGATTTCCTTCATTTGCATTAATGTGACACGTGACACAAAGTCATTTCCTCCCTTGAACTGAGGGGGATATGTAGATATGCTTGATTTCACGCTGTCTTGGAGCAGACAAACTGCATTAGACAATCAAAAAACATAACTACTTTCCTGTGAAATAAACAACCCTCTGGATCCTTGGATTTATGACTTCCAGTAGCCAAAGAATTTTACTTATCTAAAATTAATTCTGGGATATTTTTAATGGACTTTGGCAACACAGAAATAGAAAGCTCCCAACTGCCTGCTTTTGCAGGGGATACAATATTTCTTGATCGTCAGAGAGTTGCTGCATCCAGTTTTAAAGGACTGGAGTACTGCAGTCTTTATGCCCTGTCATTTCTCTTCCTCATGATACCAGGCCATTGAATCAGTTCCACGTAATGCAGCACCACTGAGTTAATGCAATGATACGTCTAGAACAGCAAAAATAAAAGACACACACACACAAAAAAAAGACAGGCACTTCCAAAATGGTGCTTTAGAAATAAAGACAATTCCTAAGTAAACAGGAATCTGTAGAATAGATAATACCTACAGAAAAAATGTATCACACTTCCACCTAGAACAGACTAAGTTCTTCTTCCTGTCTCATTATGGCAATGGGTCTGAGGAAGCTGTGGGGAAAAAAAGAACTGTATTTTCTGAAAAACACTGCAGTTTGGCTTCCCTATAGTCAGTTCCATTAGAAACCTTCTAAAAATAAACACATAAATAAATGTACACAAAAAAAATAACTGAAAGGTGGAAAAGATATGCTGCCACTGGGCATAATTTAGATGAAGGATCTGAACTGGAGCCAAGGAAACACAAATTGTTACCTTAGCTTTGGGATTTTCTGGGATGGATATTTTTCCCCATCCTGCCTTTGGTTTTGATGAAAAAAAATATTCATGTTGTGAATTTTCAACTTCTGAGGAAATAAAAAAAATAAATCCCAGTATTGACACCCTGTCACAGAAGAAGTGTAGAAAGGAATTCAGAATTTCTCCCATACCTCCTCCATTTTTCTTTGTATATGCAGCTACTGTCTAACACTTCTGGCAAATTTTGACACCCTTATGAATCTGCAGTACTGGAGGAACAGTACAAGATAGATGGATTTCTTTTTCCTGCCCTTGCCTCGTAGCACAGTCCAAATTACCAATCTGTCCAGTAGTCTACCTCAAAACTCCTTATTGGTGCTCTAACAATAACACTTCCATATCGACCTGTTGTGCATTTTTCCCTCTGTTCTTTCTAATGAAATACAAGGCAATAAATCTGCTCCATGTAGTCCCTTGCTTTATGTACCAGAATTTCTGTGTGACTGGACTGCACCACATTTCTTGAAATACTATCTTGCACATTTGAGCTGTGCTACTTTCACTGGACACCTTCCTAGAAAAAGAGCAAAGCTATACAAAATGCTTGAAGTGTTAGGAGAAAAAACCACAAGTCTGGCCTAACACCTGGAATGCTCTACGGTCTGGGTCCTCAAAATGAGCACAACGGAACAAAAGAAAGATCAGAAATTGATTAAAAAATAATAAACTGTATAAATAAGAGATTCTAAATACGTTAGAATTATCCTATCTGGAGAAGAAATGAGGACTATAACATCATGAGTAGCATGGATAAGGTGATCAACTGTCCAGTGTGTCTCCAAATACAAAAATGAAAATCTCAGCAAGCACTGTGTGGACGAGTTATGCAATTCATTCTTACAGGAAACTGGGTGATAGAAGTTCACAGTGGCTCAAAAGCCATCAGGCGAATTTATGGTAGAAAAAGCCATACAAAAATAAAAAGCTATTCAGCATACTGAGTAGAAAGATAGAATTCTGGCTCACAGCATCCCTTGATAGCAACTCAGTGGTATCCGAGAAAATGTGTAGGAATGTTATAAAAATATTGAAAGATTTATTTCATAAGTATGAAAATCAGGGCGGTTTAGGACAGAAACTGATGTATTTTTAACATGCTCTTTTTAGAGATAAATTATTGACTAATGTGCCATTTCAGTACACTAAGGCAATCAGATTACAGACTTGATATGAAAGTTTGAAGGAAAATAAATGAGGGAAAAAGCTGCACATATAAGAGAAGTTTGCCATCTGTGAAGGAAAGACTTTACTTCATTTGTCTTCTTCATTTAACTTTTGAGAATTCAGTGAAAACATAAGAGATAAGAAGAATTCACTGATTCTTCTCATTCTGTGCTTGGACAAAATCCTGAAAGCAGATTACAAACACTGCCAAAAGACATGTCACCAAAGACTAAACATGATTAACTACTTCGAAGTAATTGTGAGACTTGCAGAGCGATTCAAAAGTAAATATTTCTAAATGAGTCTGTAAGAACACATGAGCATAGTGATCCACACGCATGTGTGCATGCACACAAAGTTTTTAAGAATTATTAATTTGTCTTCATCCTTTTTCCTTGCAGAACGTATCCTGTCCACTATCTTACTAAATTATTTAAGCAGCTTTAAGGCATTTTTCTTTAAGAGGCAGTACTTTGTAAAAGAGTTTCAGAAAACACTATCTAGGGATCTTCCCCCCTGCCCTGTAATACACAGTGACTAATTTTCCTGCTGTTGAGTTCACTGCCAAAATTTCTTGGATCTCAATGACTGCCTATAAACAGGTAATCCTATCCTTAAGATAAGGCATACAGCTTTGATTGAAATCAGTGACTATATCCATGTATTTCTTAGTATAAAAGGTATTCCTTTGTCAGGAAACAAAAATACTCACTTTGCACACTTCAGGAGGAATGTTAAGAGGCAGAGAAGGTCTTTCCCTCAAAAAAGCCCTGCTGCATTTCCGACTCTACCTATTGGGCTACAGCAGGAAATTATTTCATGCTAGTCTGACAGTTTCACGTTGGCTGTAGCATTTGGTAGTATTTGAGGACTAAGAACACCTTGTTTGAAAGGCCTCCCCCGAATCTGCCCTAAAATCGCAGGCAGCACTTTCAAAAGTTTGGCTAAATCTTTCACATCCCTACTTTTTCCTGGTTTATTTATATGTGTGAATGGAGAAGGGATACAAACAGTGGAAACGGAAGAAAAAGCAATAAAACATTGCCAAAAAATAAGTTTGCAATATATACTTTCTCAAGAGAACAGAAAGCGGAACCATCAGAATGATGGGAAGAAATACTATACTGGTAGGATTTTCAGATGATCTGGTTTATAAAGTGTAAGATAGGCAATGCAAATCTGATTCTATACTGCTTGGAATTCTTAGCTAATCTTGTATTCTCTTTATGTCTCCTTACAATATGCACATACCTGATAAGCGATACTTTCAGGTCTGAGTACCGATATCCCAGGCAGTTTTCTGAGCCGTCACAACTTCAATGGACTACGTAGCTGCTCAGCTGGATTACCTGCTGGTTGTTCCTCTGGTGAAGTGCTGAGCAAAGCCTAGCTCTAGGAATAGGCCTGGGCTGACTGATACGGACGTAACAGACTACCAGAATTTTAAGTTCAAGCCAAATATTCTTCTGGATCAGGTAAGTTTTCAGCATTTTGCAAAATACTTTATAAAGAACTGCCAATATAATCACATATACAAATATAGCTTTTATTTTTACAGATAGCTAAATAACCGAACCCTGGGCTTCTGAACTCTGCCACTGAGTTGGAATATTCTGATCTACACTATTCCATATATGGTAAAATACATCCTTTTGAGTGTCTGTACTACTGGACAAACTTTGCAGACAGATAATATTTTTATTAGACCAATTATTTTTCCAGAAAAAAACCCAAGCTTCTAGACATGCTTTTTAGTACAAAAGCCATTCATCAGGTCTGAAGCAGAAGCTAAAAACAAACTGAGAAAAATTACTTGGAATTTGATTAGAAATGTTGCTGATACCTGTGGAGCAGAGAAGTAATTTCCTAGGGATTGCTTTCCACATACGTAAGCATTTCCAAAAATGCAAATGCTACATTAACAGATATGAAGTATAAGACTTTGCTTTCCTTTGCATTTCTGTAAGCCCCAGTTTGAAAACTTGGTTGGAAAAGATGACAATCACATTTACAAGAGTCAGATATTATCACTGGGAGGTTGAAGACTGAAGTCTCTCTACTCACTTTAACTCATCTTGAGCTATTCTTTCTTGTGTATTCAGCTCTCTGCTTCTCAACTCTGCGACCATTCTGTCAGCCTCACTCTGCAGTTCTGGAAGACTCTTCTCCAAGGTCTCGTCTTGGGTTCTGAGTGTCTCATTGAGTTTTATAGCATCTTCATTTGCAGCTGCAGGGGCCAAAAAATATTTATGTAGGAAGTTAGTAAATAAAAACAACAGAGAGCCTTTAAGCATCTGCCCATCAACTCTATCAGCAAGTGGAATGCTACTTGTACTGGTTATTGCTGTTGTGAAATATAAAGGATGGTTAATCCAATGATCAGTAACAAATGAAAACATGTTATGCTTCACCAAACCTTTTGTTATAGCTCACTTTTTAGCACAATAATTAAAGTGTAGAAGTCTTTATATCCAGTATAAGAAATATATTGCTCCCCTCCTCCTCCCCCTGAAAAAAAAGAACTTGCACTGAACCTTTGAAACAGCAGAAGATAATCTGGTATATTGTCCATAGAATTAAGGAGCAGGCAGTACAAGCAATGAAAATTAGATTTAAATTACTTTCGGAGAATTTCAAAATATGTAATTTTTAGCATTCAGACTTAACAGCATTAGGAAGAATAAACGATTGGGAGATTTTGGAAAAAGGAGGAGACAGAAGAGGAGTGAAAGACACCCACAGATGTCTAAACCCGCTCATGTGTTTAGAAGCAGATACCCAGAAATGGAAAAGAAGGGTATGAAGGTTGGAATATATGATGGTACACTGTAAATGTATTGTGCATTTGGAACAGCTGAATTATTCCTAACTGATCAAGCTGTACACATGGTATCGTATTCAAGGACTGACTAAAATCTTTCTATCATAGCACACCACAATGCATTAGAATATACACTTTCAGAAGCAACTAGGTCATTTATGACAATCAGTTCTATCTTCAATTATAAAAGGTACTTCTGCCTTTCCATAGGCACGGGGCTCCCAATAACTGATTTCTCCAAAACAGGACTATTCCTGGTTGTATGGGTACTTCTGAATATTTTAAAGTAAATCTTTAATTGAAGAAATTAAAATCTGTCTTCCAAAATTCAAATAAATTACTATTTCGTCTACACATTGTATAGGTTTAGAGTAAATTATGAAGAAAATTCTAATCCAATGATGTCTTTGATTTGCTGGTGAAAACTGAGATTCGCATCTTTAATCAAGAGTGATTATGTGTGGGGTAGTGAGGACTGGAAAAAGACTACACTTTGCTTAAATAGATCATGGATTGCTTATGTTATGTATCATTACTAAGTGACCTTGGGCCAGGAATAGACATATTTTTATTTTTTTTTAAGTCTGGAATAAATAAATAAACAGTAATTTAACCTCTCTGAATATTTACCTTAAAAGAGAAAATGGATATGTTATCTCAGCTTGTATTAGGTTCAGAAAAAATTTGTATCTATCTATATGTTACTTCTCCATGCTCCTCTTCTCACAACAATTTTTACTTTCTAGTCTTAATATACTGCAAATGATCAGAGTCCAGTGGTGGTAAATGATTTGGATGCACTGACATAGAGGAACACAACGAAGCACAAAGCTGGGGAAATTCCATAGTTAAGAGGAAGAACTAGTTACAGGTACTCATAAGTTCAGAAAGTCAGAAATCAGCTCAGTAGAAATGGATCAATGGTCAGAGTACAGTCGTTACAACAAATCACCACAAACTTCTCACTTGTAATAAGGATTTTTTATGGTTTGAAGAATTCCTTGATTCCCTGACATTTAGGGAGGCATTTGTCAGATCTATAATTGTACTTCTGAGCACTGCCTTCTCAAGCATTACTTTCAGCCCATGGAAAGAAATAGGTCCCTTCATGGAATTTCATCCTAAAGTTGTTGCCTACTGGCGACAAGTACTAGAGAGTCACAGATACAGTCCTGCACTCCTAGAGATCCAAAGTACTGTAACTTTCAGTAATCTGGAATCTAGGAATGGGGGACAAGGAATGGTCATAGAGAATACATGCAAACTGGTTGGTCATCTCAATCAGAACATTATGAGTGGATGTAAAGTCTTTAAGGAAGAATCTAGCAATGTCTCAAAGGTCAAAAAGAACAGAGACAAAGAAAGTATAGGGTCAATATGCAGTTAAAATGCCGTCAAATTTTAGAATAATCTAGGATTGACTCCAACATAAGGTGAAACTTTATCCTCAGTTTTTGGAAGATGATGATCTTGAACAGGAAGACAACTGAGGATAGCAATCAGAAGTAAGGATACAGAAATTGTCATAACAAAGGAAGAATATTGTGAAGAACTCAAGCTGGAATGGCAAAAGAACCGCCATTCTAGAAACTTGAAAGATCTGGCGCATGACATTGCAAATCCAGGAAGAAGACCGGTTGACTGAGAACAAGCAAATGTAGTGCCTGTTTTGAAGAAACGGGAATTCCACTAAGGCCTGAGAACTTGTTTTGGAAGTAAGTGGAAAACAGGTTGTGGAATAAATGGATGTGTTGTGTTTGTTTGTTTTTTTTTTTTTCCTAAGGTAGCACATGTCAGACTATAGGGTTTAATAGCAAATCCAGATGAATATTTTCATTAACGATCCTGGGGCAGGGGGGAAAAGTCTACTGACAAAACATGCTTATGAGGAAAAGTTGTAAGAGAGTCTTAATAGAGAAGGATTGGAATGTCATGTAGAAAGAACTGGGTGACCTTCAAAACTGAAGTAATCCAACACGAATGAGATTCAACAGTAGAAAATATAAGGTTGTGAACTAAACGACAACAGAAATTTCAGCTGTAAACTATGGTTTTGCCAGTGAGATATAAGGTATGAATGAGAAGAACATAGCTATATTATGAATCTCCAATGGCATCCAGTTGTGAAAAAAAAAAAAAAAAATTATCCCAGGATGTATTAGGAGAGCTGACATAGGCAGGTTTTACTGCTACTGAAGTGCAAGACACTGAAGCAACCTCAATTCAATGCTTGTTACCTGTGCTCTGGAAAGATGAATGTAATTTTGAACATAGGAAGGGAAAATACACCAAGGTGAGCAGGAGATTTGGGAGAATATGCTTTAAGGTGTTTTAGTCTGGAAGAAGGGGGGCTGAAGCAGCACACGATTCCTCTCTACAAATGTAGTTGGGGGTGAGAGAAGGAGGAGAAGAACAAGGGAAAGGAAAAAAACTATTTGAACTAAAGAACAAGGTTAGCAAAAGAACAGAGATGATAAACTAAACATGAATATTTTTAGCTAGACATGAGAAGGTTTGTAGTGTATTTGTGGGAATTACTTTGAAGATGAGGGTTAGAAAGTTTATGATAGCAAGGGAGTGGATGCAGCAACCCAGGAGGTATCTTTCAGTCCTGTGCTCCTCTATTTCGTCTGTTCTTAAAATGTTAACTCGGCCACTAGGCAAACACATTGATTTTAAAGTCTTTGTCTACTTCTAAGATACCACATACATTTATTTCAACCCCTTAGTGCCTTCTAACTATGTACTTCCTATTGCTAAACTTGCTTGAGGAAACTTTTGTTTGGGTTACAAACACTGGCCATAAATTTTGTGGAGCCAAAAATTGGTTTAGCCCTTGTCATCCCAAATTCATTTTGAAATATAAAGAACCTGGTCTTTTGTTTAAAAAACTTCTTGAAAAAATGCTTACTTTTTCTTGTTGCTTTTCCCACATTTATTTCATGTCAAAGTTGAACTTCCTAAAGATATCCTAAATTTCTGTTCAGTTCAGGTACAGGGCATGTACTGGGATGTGTTACATGAAAGGCAATATAAAATGTATTTTATAGAACTTGGACAAAAGTGGAAGCTTTCCCTTTCAATGAAATGGACCTTCAGAGGCATAACTACTGAAATCAGTACTATAGCAGGAAGTTTTGAGGAAGGAAGAAAGAACAGATCAGTACTTTTCAAGTAAAAAACCTGCCTGTGACTGCCAATCACTTTCCTATTTTTCAGCCACTATCTTATTTAATAGCTTCATGTATTTTATAGGTCTTGCTTCTCAAAGCCACCTACAATACTTTTGCTCATAAGTCTTCACTGCATCTGTAAGTGCAGTGAATCAGCTTGTGGAAGACAGTTGGCTGCACGCCACTACATAGGTAGGGTTAGGAGTCACTTGCAAATTCCAAGCAGCAGATGTTCATTAACAGCAAGTAGTAATGTATTTTTGAAGTCAGTTGGGGAAATTAGGATGAAGTGTTAACGTACCATGTGCCAAAATTACATCAAAGTTTTTTACCAATACATGTTTTTAACTGCTTTGAAAATAAACCAAAGCTAAGCGCTGTTAGTTACTTCATCATAATAGTTTTCTTCAAATAACTGCAAAAATCCTGAAGAAACATACTCAATATTCTGCTAGTCTTTGTTCATAATTACCAATGCACTGTTTATATAAACTACATCTGTAGACTGCAAAAAGTCCAACGATAGTTGACTGTAGTTTCTTCACTCAACATTTAAAGCACATGACATTTCTCAGTGAATAAACTCTTCCTCGCTGTCTCTCAGACCCTCCTTCCCCACCATCCCTCATTTTTCTTGAGAAACAATTGGCAGAGTTTTCTTTTTCAGTACCTTCAGCAGCTTGGAGAATGCCTTTGACGAACTGTCCAAGAGATTTCGCTCTGTCGTTAGTCCTCTCAGCATCCTGCCTGGTTTGCTCACCATCTGCTGTCACCTTGGTAGCCTAGTGATCCAAATTCATGAAAAGTATAATTAATAAACAGGACAAGGCTGCACTACGCGATGTCCCTACTGGCTGAATCTATGTACAAAACTTTCCTCCAGCAAAAGGCAATCAATAAATTATTGATCAGATGCATGGGAAATGACATGCTCTGTTCAAGTACACAATTAAATTTTATTACCTTTTCCTTTAAATGGAAATTTGAAGGCTTTATTTTAGGTTCTTAGAAGCCCTGGTTGTATGCAACAGCACACAAAGGGAGATAGGATGAAATTATTCACTGAATTTGCTTACAGAAACATTGTTTGGAACCTTTTAATAGATTCTTCAGGGAATACTTTCCATAGTTTCACAATTGTGCACTTTTCAATTGACAAAGTGCAGCAGATATCATGACCTCTCTGCTTCCTCCCTGGAGGCGTGCTCAGAGACACAGTTCATGCCAACAAGCAAGAAGAATTTTAAATCAATATATTAATTAAAACAAGAAAGAGAGAGAAAAAAAAGAGTTGGGTTGGTTTTTTTTTCAGCTCTAATCCTTGAAGTTGTTTGTTTAGAACATATTGGGGTGCTCAGTAAAATTTTAGCTTTGTGTAACTAAACACTTTATAATTTTATTGAATCACAGCAGCAAAAGCAGGATGAAGACAGACACCTGCTGCAGACCTGAAAAACATGCTAAGGAAAGGAACATCTTAAGATATCCTGCTTAGCTTTCAAGGTATCTATTTACAAAAAGGACTCATTTTTATTACAAAGCAACTGACCATTTCAAGCAACAATGCTTTTCAAACTGTATTGTAAAGCAAAATGACCCCATTTTTTAATTTGGGGATTGCATTCCCAAGAAACGTCTCAAAGCAAGGCCTTATGATCTTTCCAGTCTCTGGGAACTGGCTAGAAGGTCAATAATTCAAATTGACCTTAGGTTCTCTCTGACGTGAGCTTTACAAACTGTTTTCTCAGTTACACCCCCACCCCCACCCCCCTTTCATTAATAGTCAAAGAGAAATAATATAACTCTAAAACATTTATTTCTGCCTGATTAGCTTCTAGATGGAAGCCCTCAAGATACATCAGGACAGCTGGGTTTCTGAAATGAAATCCCTGGCATTATCATACCACTTACAGTTTTCGTCCATTTCCGAGTAGTTACTCTGAACGTAATTTATATGAAAATGGTTCAGGTAAATAGAATTATACAGGGAGAATTAAGAACCTATACTGACGTGGGGGAGTTAGTTCCATTTTCATCCCTGTATCAGTCGAAGAACATGGCTTTTCACATTTATACAGTTTTAATCATGCTATTGGTTACTTCCCCTAAGATTTACAAACCCTCTTTTACCTGCCTGGATACAGAACTAAAATATCATCACAGTGAGCTGTAAGAGGCAATTGGGATAGGAAAGAGGCAAAAATACAGAATGGTCTTGGTGGACAACTGCTCTAACCCAGCTTGGCATTTCTGATGGCATTTCATTCTTCATGTAATTGAGAACTACCTTACTATTTATTGTCAAATGCTCCACAACCAGCCTTTTATTCTTTGTGGTTTATTTGCTTGGAATTTTCACATGCCCTTTTATTACATTCTATAATATTTTCTACGTTCTTTACTATAAATGGTGTTTTATAACTTACATATACTTTTTTTAGTTTTGATTACTTTTTCCACATTCATGTTAATTCCAGTTGGCCACTTTAACCTCTCAATATTTATGACTGAATGGCATGTACTACATTTTTGTGCACATTAATCTGTCATCGAACAGTTTTCACTTCCTCTCAGTGACAGTTCTCTTTAGTACTTAAATCCTATTCAGCTTCACTGAAGGCTTTCTGTATTTTACCATAATTTGCTTTGCTGAAAAATAACCTTTTGCTTCATTATCTGGTCTAGCTTTTACTCCATAAAACAAATTAAACGGCAAACATCCTTCACACTGTACCTAGCCATTCCACAGCTAGTTAAATTTTTCCATTTGTTTATAAAGCCCTACTCATTTTCTATATATTCAGTTTACTACAGTTCACCATTTCTATAAGGTCAGTCTTTCTCATCTCCTAAGAGTTTAAACAGGCACAACAAACTCTTTCTGCAGGAGCAATAAAGGTCAGGCAGAGTGGACACAGAATAAGGGTTTGGAATGAATCTTCAAGAAGTCTGGACACAAATAAGACTTCTTAGCATAAAGGAGATCCCTACCATGGGAATCTAGTAAAGAAAGTATCATCTGAGGTCAGTGAACCTGCTTTGGTGATGTTCACAGCTTGTACTTAGTGATGAAGGTTCCATGGAAGGCCTTGTCCCAGTCTGAAGACTATTAGCCACTTAACAACTTGGACTATTGGCAAGTATTAGCAATTACACACACATTTTTAGTTTGGTTTTGTTTGTGTGTTTAGTCTAAGGTCTTAATTAAGCCATAAGAAACTCCTCTGGATGACATCTGGAGGGCAGCCCTACAGGAATTTCTCCAGCTCGTGAGCTGCAGACCACAGAAGGAGGAGTAAACAGAGACCTCACTGTACAGACGGAAGTTCTTGGCTCTCTCTCCAAATGTTTCCAACTACTACAAACTAAGTTGTCTCTGCTACCACTTCCAGAAATTATTGAGCTTGAGAATTTCAGTGGTATGGGAGAAATAAGAAAGTTTACAAAGTCAAAAGAAGCATTTCAATCAAAAGGAGTGATTCTGATCCCTGTCTGGAAGGCTCCGAAGGTACCTAATTAGAAGGGAAGAGGGGGTTTTGACAAAAAGTACTGAACTGAAAGGAAGTGAAGAGTCTAAGGTCTGCCTCTGGTGGTAGATGTGGGAATGTGCATGTAAGAACGTAATTAGCGCGAGAGAGATGTAAGGGTCTTCTGTATAGCAGAGTGAATGAAGGAAATAATATAATGGAAAAAAAGAAAAAGGAGTGCTGCACTGATGTAAGAGATCACTGGTTGAAAAGAGACCACAAGGAAGCAAAGTACCCAAAAGTTTCGTAATGACTAAATACTATTAAAAAATAGATAGGTTGTTGGTTTGGTTTTTTTTTTCATGGAAACAGACTCCTCACCAATCCTCATCAACCGTTTTCTTCATCACTTCTGGTTCCACTTTGAAAATTTAGTGAGCCTGCAAATCAGACACAGGGAAAAAGCTTGCTACCTGTATTTGTACCATGTGCTCCAAGTCATTGTGTGGTTATCAGCTATACCTTCATTTGGAAATGAGACTTGAACATACTACATCAGGACTCACTTTTCTTTTTGGGACATTACTCCTATTTACAAATGTAGAAAGAGAAAGGTAGGACTCACCACCACTTTCCAGTCCCCAAATTAAAAAAATCCAACTGAAATTCAGTTAACAACTCTCTGTAAGGATAACTGGAAATCATAAGGCTGCTTACTCATTTGCAACAGTGGATAACTGCAGAAAGGGAAGCGGTGAAAATCTAGCCACCACACTAAATCCCCTAAAATCACACCTTATTTTTCCTTCCAAGACTAGTCTACAGCAGGTCAGAATTTGAAACATTATTTTAGGTCATCTCCATAGAGGATTAAAATTTATTTAATTTTTGCTGGGGGTGGGGAGGCAATTGGAAAAGGGTACTAAAAAGAGCAAAGTAAAAAAAAAAAAAAAATTGTCTTAGCCTAATATTGACAAATCTTAATAAAAGAAATATAATCTTCCCTGCTTGTAGGGCTGTCATGAGTTAAAAATCCACCTAGACTTAAAACTACTGTAGTTATTTCTGGCAGAAAATAAAAGATCAAACAGAAGTGAAAAAGCAAGCTTTCTTTACACTCACAATGAGAGTATGCACAGATATCTGTGTATACATGTTTATGTGGGTGTACAGACACATGCATACATGCATACAAATGCAAACACACTACAGATGCTTTCCTACCCACTACCCACGATTTTATAGTTTTTTTCAACCTCTGTTGAAACAAACTAGTTTCTCTGGGAATTTTATTTCTGTAAGCCATGAACAATTTTAACACAGGATGCTAAAACTGTATGGCGTTTAGTTCGATTCTCTCAGGTGTATGTTCATCAGCACAGTGATCCATGTCTTTCTTATTTGGCTATTTCAATGCAGGGGAGCACAACTCAGGAACATGATTTTTGTTAGTCCTTCATATTAATGTATTTTGGACAGCTGTATTTTTATTGTGGTTGGTCCATTTCCCTATTTTTTTCTCCACTAGGTGGCACAATTTATATTATTTTCTTAAACAATGTCTTTTATGGACCAAAATAAGGTCTATATTGAAATAAAACTTTCCTAATAAAAAGAGTAAATAGCACATCGATTGAAACCCAGAAGACTCTCACTACCCTCATAAATGAAATATAAAACACATATATTTAAATAAACACACACCTTGAGTATATATTTGAATTCTCCTTTAAATATTGTCCCCATTTCAATTACTTTATTCATTGACTCTTAATGAGAACTCGCTATTTGTTAAACCAGGACTTTCATTGCCTTGCTATAAAATTTCTTTAAAATAATTGAATCGGGTCAGGCTACCATTTGCTCTACAGCTCCTGGAGAAACAAGCCAGCACAACAGATAACCCACAATGGAAAATTAAACTGCAAACCAGCAAAACTTTTCCTATAATGTGCTTGAGATGGTTGGGCACTAAGTAACTCTGAGTGAAGCCAGGCTACTTCTATTGCAACAGGCAATCTTAAAAGAGAAACAGGTTGAAAACTATCTTGAGACAGTCAGGCTCAGGAGATTTGAAAGGGAATATGATGAGATGAAGATGCTGACGCAGAAAGCAAATAGCCTTACCAGAGACAGTGCTAAAATTCAGAGGAAAAGGAAGGACACCAAGCACTTCAATTTCCAAAACCCTCAGCCAGTTGAAGAAAAATTCCAAACGTGTGAGATACCGTGTGGTAATCCCATGGTTTTGTTGCCATTAGGTTTGTAACACAACCTGCAGCTGAAGCCCATAAATGATACATCAAGAACTCCCTTTCCTTTAGTGTCAGCTTTTCCAAATAAGCCCATTCTTGGGTGCTCTGTATGAGTATTATAGTTTTCTTATATTATTATGAAGTTTTGCAGAAAATATATCTCAATGTATTGGCCCACAAAACCAGGTTGTCAGAAGACTTGCTGCCATTTCAAACACAGACTGAGAAGCATCTTATTATTCAACTATTCACTTATGTTTAATTCATATTCAGAAGATTTCTGTCATTATGCAGCCTTAGCCAAACCCATAGACCCCAACGTGATCATAGACTTACTCTTGTCAGTAGCTCATCCATTTCTGTCACAAGGGTATCCAGATTTTCTTGTGCTAGCTGAAGAAGTCTCTCTGGTGCTTGCTGAGGTGAAAGCAAATGCTGTTGGGGAAGAGAGGAGGGAGAGTGAAAATCTGTATTTAATGGATCTCGGTCCTTCCAGATATTGTAGAGAAGAAGCATCAAATGTTTCCTTTTCATTACAGTACGCAACTGCCTTTTGTCATTGACGCTTGTGTCACATCCATCCAACATATTTTTCTCAGGAATTTTGACAGCTTTACATAGTCTAGTGGAGAGCTTATAAGTATAGCAGGGAACATACAGTATATAAAACACGTAACTGCTTTATGGACCATGAGCATGAACATTATCTTATTTGCACGTGACCACCTTTTCTGTGCCTGCAGTATAATTGTATATATATATATATACACAAATTACTGCTGTAAGATTTATTTATTAAAATAAGTCAAAACTAATGACTGTAGTAACTTTTTATCAAGCAAAGCAAGTTTGAAGTAATTAAACCTTGAATTTATCTTCTTCCCTGAACCTACTCACGGCTGTATGTTTGAACAGATTCAAGTACAGTTGTACTTAAGCCCTGTTATTTATGTATGTGAATACTGTGAACATACCTTTAATTCCTGTGTCATGTTCTCAAAACCATGCAACATTCTATATGGAGCGGGCAGCGGCCCACTAAGGTTAACGCTCAGGATCATCTGGTTTAGCCGATCCAGGTCACTGAGAAGGAGTCCTGTGCATTCATCATCACAAGCTGGGGGGAAGAACAGCAAAGCTTATTTATTCCTGCTAAAAGTTTAAGATGTGTTTAAGTTAGAAATTTTATGGCACACACACAATTCCGTGAGAGGTAATACTAATTTCAGATAAATTACCCCAAAATCATACTGGGAGAAAAAATGGAAACAACAACTAGGGAACTGGAAAGACATTTTGCTTAGGACTTGGCAATGGGACAGTTTAATATAAAACATGAAGAGCCAAATTGGTAGACACAAAGAGGAAATAATTAATGTTGTTCATTATATGGACTAACCAATATAAAATCCTAAATAAGATAAGCAATTTGGATGAAGTCTAAGAGTGGACAGGTAATTTGGAAAATCTGAGGAGCACTTTAAGAAGTATAATATGGTTATGGATTTGAACATAAGAAAAAAACAAAGAAATCTTAAAATTTACATACTTTATAGTCATATAACAGCATGGCCAAGCATGCTAAACTTGCAATGCAGACAGTAGAATGAGTCCAGGTAAAAATACTGGCAGTTTTATTTTAAGAAATGCTTTTCCCTACCTCCTTTCACTAACCAGCTTACAAGTTTTTCATGTATGCTTCCTTTCTTGCAAATACTCTTTAGCATGAAAAATACTGGTGTGTGTTGCATATACCAAAAGGAGTTTGCATTTTCCTCTCTCTTGCTTTCTATTAACTATCACAAGAAATCCTCACGACCTTAAAGTCTTGTATCATTTATGCTGCAGACAGGAAAATTCTTCATCCTTAAGAACAAGAGTTGTGGGAATGACTTTTTGTTCCTCTGCATAAAGATGCTACACAGGACTGGCAAAACTAAACAACACCTCAGGAGATGGAGCAAACTGGAAACAATGAATTCATTGGTGATGTTAAGAGACATGGAGGGTTGTACCTGAAGTTTTACAAGTATGTAATTATTTATTTCAGCAGTAGTCCTAGGCAGCTCAATGGCTAAAAAACCACTAAACAACATGTATGTTTCTGTAGAAAAAGAGAATTTTCAACAGAGAATTACGTTTGTTTTCCCCAAATTTATTCTTCATGTAGATTAAATCTTTTCTGTTATTTAAAGTTTTCAGTTATCTAAATGTTGTACTTATTCTGTTGGCTGACTGTTCAGTATAGCAAGGAATTCAGTCAAATACAGAGACGAGAAGAAGGAATACTAGTTTAATACACCATGAAACTAATGTGGTGATTGAAATCCTTTTCAAGATATATGCGGGATTAGTGCAGTAGTAAGTGGATGCAGAAAGCTAGATACTGTTATTTTAAGTCTTCCTTTTGCATTTTCATTGCTTCCATTGCAGACTTCTTCCTCCTATTTCACAGTATTTTGTTACATAAGCTGAACTGCACTAGAACTTCTCTGCAGTTGTTAACTGTGGGCATGGTATATTCTGATTTATGTTTCTACATGAAATTTAAAAAAAATAATCTTATTACCACTTCAGTTCTTGTCATCTGTGCACTTGCTTTTAGAAGTCTGAGAGAAGCAAGTTTTATAGCCAATTGAATGTGTTATAGAACAAGCAGCTGTTCTGTAGCTGGTCAAGAAGTTAAGTAGACTTGATAACCATTTTGCAGGATGCAAGTAAGTGATCTCAGATCTGAAAAGAGTTGGGTTTTGTTGTTTGTTGCTGTTTGGTGTTTTTCCCAATAAATTATTTCACTTATGAAACAAGCTAAAATCTGTTCACCCTCAAAATTCTCAAAGTGGTTGGTAATAAAATGCTAAAAAATTCCTATGTCTTAAAGACAAATTCAATTCACACCAATGAGAAAAAAAATGAACAGCTTATGAAGTGATTCTCAATGAGTAAACAATTGATAAGTGAGCATTCAGTACAAATTAGCACCTCTTGCACAGTAATGGGGTTGAAAAGAAGAACTACATCAAGTGAGGACCACAGCTGAGTAGATGAGACAGGACTAAGCTACTCCGCTACGCAGTCTGAAATGTACTGTAGCTACGGGAAATATTTCAAGAGCATGATTATATTTTGTAAGACTAAATACTTCTGTATCTATCTATAAAACTGTCAGGACAAATTTGTGTCAAATATTAACAAATGCAGCAGTAAATTCAGATCATTACAGCAGTGCAAGCATGTAAGAGGCAAATCATGCAGTCAATATTACACTAGTCCAGCAAGCAATTAATGCAAATTACTGCATTTTCCATTTTCACCACACTTTCCCATGCACAATAAGTTCTCTAAGGATTTTGACTTACCTCTTGTGAGAAGCATCTCCAAAGTATGCATGGTAAAGAAACTTTTTTAAAAAAAACAATTGCTCAAGTAATAAAAGACACTATAAGCTTATGGACATCTAACCACTTATTCCATCTTATAAAGAGAAGATAATGTACAATAAAGGAATCACATGTCTAAGCCATAATGTGTTCCTCCAATTGAGTGATTATCTAACACAATTTTGCTTTAATACATTCATTGCTGTTAAGATTCAGAAGACTGTGTTATGACTAGGTAATTTTTGGTCTAAAGGCAACCATGCAATCTCTAATATGAGGTGGTATCCTATGAGAGTCAGTGACTCTTCAGTATTAGTTTCCTGTTGCTTTTTTTTTATTGTTCCACAATAAAGTGTTGAACCATTGTCAGGTTCATTAATCTGTTGGCTGTTACCTCATTTTTTCAGTTTTGGCACTGGTCTCACACCTCATAATAAATAAGCTCTCCTCTTCCCCTCAAAACAGAACCCCCCTAGAGAGCTGAAAGCTTTAGCTTCCTTGTCCTTGCTACTGATTTCAGGTAGTTTGCATGGTCAACATGTCTCCAAAATCAGATCCAGATCAGGGTCTAAACTACTGACTCAGATTTATTTCCAATTTTCACTGTTTAGAAAGCCTTATTTGCTGGCTCTGATACTAGTTAGATTTATGTAGGGCTTGAGTTGGGTGAAAGACATTGGAGTGTGGGTCTAAACTCAACAGGAGCTCATGCATCAAAAAAAGGGAGAACAACTGATAGCTTATCAGCTTCTCGGCCAAGTAGGGGTGCCCATCCCTTATTGAGCTCATGCAGACAGAGAAGCAGTTGTCCAGCACAGATGTAAGTTTAATTCTTATGGCTGTGCCGTAAGGGCTCATAACTTCTGTTAAACTCAGAACATAGCAGAAGCTGGTACAAGGCTTCATAGGTATGGTGTTACACTCAGTATCTTTTTTTTCAGCTCGCCATGAAGGCTTGTGATAAGAAGCTCCCAGCTCTTGCTGAATTAAGGACTGTGTAGGAGCTAAGAGATGCCTCTTTTCACAGATTCTTTAAGATCTGCCTCTGACAGAGACAGCATCTCTGCTTATCTCTGAATTTGGAAGGGCTGAGATCATGGAGCTACTCCCTATTTTAGAGGGTAAACCTTGATCCTGCCAGGATCAGTGGTTAGGAGGTCCCTTGTTCTCCTGGGTGCAGAACTGAGTAGCAGCTGGGTAGAACTCCCTCTCATTGCAAGCACCAGACTATTGTACAATATTTAAGTGTCGAAGATGCGGTATTAAAGGAATATGGTTATGTAATTTTTTCTTTCTGCCAATATTGAATATTTAAATTCGTAAAGATTTAAGTTTGTCGACTGCAGAATGGCTGAAGGTCCTTTTTTTTTTTTTTCCACAAGACTGAGTTCAAGAAAAACTAACAATGAAATATGTTTGATCTCTCTATGTCATGATTGCTTCCTGTTCCCTATTAATCTCATACAGCAGAACCACATTGCCTGCTTTACATTTAGGTTTTTGCTAGACCCCAAGGAACATTTGTGACAGGAGCAAACATCTGAGGAAAGGTTTTGCAGTTTGTGTTGCAACAGAGCTCAAAATATTGAAGCCAAATTTTTTTGAAGTCCCTATTGTAACTATGACTGGTGGCCTGAAAGCATTCAGAAGGTGAGTTCTGACTTGCCATATGTTTAACAATAAAGCCTTGAAGTTCTCACTAGGATTACTTTCCTCCCTAAACTCTGCACAGTAGCTGTTCCAACAGCTTTGCAATCAAAGGTACTTCATTTTATGTATCACAAACTCTACAACTGAAGTGAAGTGGAATGTCACAAGGTATAACAAAAAATACACAAGAGAATTAATAATCTAAAAAACTGCACGATTGCTACATGCTTGACCCAAAACTTCTTGTAGCTCCTTCTTTCCACTTTGGCTTGCTAAGGTCAAAGCTCCTTGAGAAGGATGAGGAGGGAGCAATACATGCTTTGGCTTGTTTACATATTTCTGGTATGTATGTGTAAAACACGAATCAAGCAAATACTAATGATCTTGGTCCGCCTGAGCTTGCTGGGCATAGTTCATCACACAACTCAGCCGTGTTCTGGATTGGAACTGTGGGGTTTAACTAAGAAAAAAAATATAGGTCTTCAACACTGTAGTGATTATAGGCCAGTCAGCTATTACCAGTTGACAATTTTCAGCAGAATAAACATTGAGATATATTTATTAGAGTAAAAATGACCGATGCATAAAAGAGCATCAATCATTTAGACGACAATTCATTTGTAGTTACAAATTAAAATTAAAATCTGTAAGCACTGGAGAAGACTTGGGAGAAATTTTGTCATATTTGACTTTATACAAGGGTGTTGGCAGCATTATTATTGGGTTGGAACTAGGTGATTCCAACCTAAACCATTCTATGATTAAAACTAGTTTGCAATCATAACTAATTTTCTTATTGGCAACTGACTGTTTCAAAACAGAAGGGAAAGTGAGCCTAGGAAGTGGATTCCTTGTAATTCTTGGTCTCATGTAAGCCTTCATCAGCAGAGTATTATGAGTATCTGCACATGATGATCTAGATGGTCACTTTAGCTGGGGAAATAATCCAGTTATTATCCATACTAATGCAAAAAGTTTACAATTTTTATGATGTGTAGTAGACCATTCAGACACTTGTATTGCTTTTTGGGTATCATTTTCCATTCCCTAATGGCATCCTAGAGAAAACAGCATTGTTCTGTTCTAG